ACTCTTGCTGCAGCATTTTGGATTAACTGAAGGTTTTTCAGGGAGTTTTTAGGACATCCTGATAATAATGAATCACAGTAGTCCAGGCTAGAAGTAATAAATGTGTGAATTAGTTTTTCAGCGTCACTCTGAGACAGGATTCTGTTCTCTTTGTAATTACAGGAGCTGTCCTCAGATTCAGACATCAGCACCAACCAGATCGTCCAATATGTTCACATGTTAACTGCAAATTGATGAAAACAATACAAAGGTTAAAGTACCACATGTGCTGTCAGTGAAAGCTGCAGCTTTTTCAGAGAGCTGCTGATCTCCTGCACAGCTTCTGTTTTAAACACTTGATGTACTCAGTTGCATGAAGAGCACAGCTGATTTTCTCTGACACAATTAAATAAACCCGATGAAGGTCACTTGTACGTCGAACTACAAACTTGTAGTTTGGCATTTTGAAGCAGCCTTCAGAATTTCATGCTGTTTTTGTTCTCGGTGAAAATGTTTCCTCCTGGATTGAAATAGATCTGTCACGGACCCGGCTCTGGAGGACTCGGGGGTCCGTGAGCAGGATGGACCATTATTAGTATTATTAGTATTATTAGTATTGTCATTGTTGTTATTTAGGGATGTGTGTCTTTCTACACTGTGCTGTGTTCTGTGTTCCACTCATTATATGTAGAGGCAGGGTGTGGGTGTGTACATGTGTGGCTGGAGGATGGAGAACAGCCACATGCGGGCCTGATGGGTGTGGCCCGGCAGGAGGACTGGCCACACCTGAAGTTCCTGCCACACACCTGTTGGTGATCAGGGCTCGTCGGGGGAGCTACTTAGGAGAGTGTTGGAGCTCCCACCGGCGTGGGTTCAGACTACTAGTTAATTTGGCAAAGAGAGTCTAACACTGAGATTAAAACAAAAGGTTAAACTTGTTCGCTACATCCGCTTTTGTTTGAAAAAAAAAAAATTGCCCAACTGTGAGGCTGAAAGAAAATCTAAATTCTTCTGAGTGACATAACCTGGCTTGCTGGTGGGCCAATGTCTTTCAAACAAAAGACTAATGTAGACCTTGAATGCCCTACATTTGAAATAAAAAAGTGTGTGTGTGTTCTATTTGTTGTTTTTTTCTTTTAGAAACAGATCATTAATGGCAGCATGACAGGGCACTGCATATAAAAAGAGGATTTGTCTAAAAAAGGAATCTTAAAGAAATGTTTTATCTTTAACCAGGACATGACCGAGGCCACTGCACTGACTGCTATAGAGACAATGAACATCTGTCTCCAGAGATACGCCAGGCAATGACTGTCCTGATGTTGGCATCATCATCGAGGGTGTGGTGGTTCTTCAGGATTTGGATAGTGTGGCCCTTGCAGTTGCCATGCTTTTTGGACTGTTTTACTCGTTGAACATGAGTTACCCATCACAGCTCCGCTACACCTTTGAGGTAATTCAGAAGGTGGTAATGGAATTGGATGCAACTGAACTCTCAAGAAAAGCCCAAAATTTAAAGACAAAACTGCTCATGTAAAGAAAGTTCACTGTTGCTCTGCATGTGAGGTGGTTTGCTCTCTCACTTGTTCTCCTGCATTTTGGAGGTTCAATATCAACGACAAATCAGTGTTCACTATTGTGTACTTTGTAAATGCCATATAGATGGGGCCTGGCTTGGTTTTGTTTTTTCCTTTTTGCTCTCTGTTCAAGTTTTCTAATTGGCAGCATTTTTAGATTTTGGTTTATTTGTTTTTAAAAGTGAAGAAATGTAGGGTTATTCACCCCAAATAGTCCCATCATGGCTGTGTGAAACAGCATTTTAGGTTTAATTCAGTTGGTGTAAGATTGCTTTGATGGTTTTGTTTTAAACCAAGATGTTGCAGTATGTTCATTGCAGGAATTTTTGAAACTATTTTTTGTATTTGTTAATTTTTTTTAAGTCACTCTATCACTGTTATTTTTGTGGCTCTTTAAAGGTTTTGACTTGCAAGTGGTAATTTTTTCTTTTTTTAGTAATTAGGGCAAAATGCATAATGTTAATGATAAGGTTAATAGGTAGGCGTTTCCCAATCCAGTAATTTTAGAGTTAATGGTAACTAACATTATGTTAAATTATTTACAATTGTAATTGTTCATTTAATCTTAAAACCTTAAGCAGAATTTTTTGTATTACTGTTCTCTTTCAAAAAGGTAACCTGTGTTTTTCTGTGTTTTGTCAAGTCAATCATGGCATAGATATTAGACCTTTTAGTTTTGTTTTTGTTTTTTTCTCCCCACACAGGTTACCATCTTGAAAGAGAACAATGTGATATGTTATAAAGCTTACATTAAAAAATGTGTACTTGATACTAGAATATAATAACAAATTGTTAAACGAAGATAACATGTAGTATTTAAGTGACCAATTAGTGTTGGGTAAAAGTTACTCAATAGTGTGGGATTAAAGTGAGAAAATTATGAGAGAATAAAATATTCCAAGACCTCATATTACTTCAACAGAACATGTCTCATTCACATTTTATGAACACAAAATTTATAGGTGTATTGAAAGCGAATAACTTGTGTTAATTTAACACAATTTTTTCATTTGCTGCCAAAGCAAAGCATCTGTGTGCAACAAATGTCCACCACTGAATTAAGTAAATCTAACATGCTCTTTTTTTTTCAGTTTATGTAATGTTTGATGCGTCATTATTTATTCCAGTCTATCTTGCAAATACATGTTTGTGCTGCAATGTCATGCACAAACACAAACTATTAGATCCTTCAGATCAAACCTATGTCAAAATTGTTTCATTATTTTGGTCCATTGGAGTGTGGTAAGCCATCAAAGGCCGCTACTAGAAACTCGGAATATTACATGAAATTGCTTGTTTGGCCAAAGATGGGCAAATGATGTAATTTGGTAAAAAACATTAAAAACTACAATTTTCATGTGTTGAGTTTAGAATGAAAGCAATTTTACCTAAATCGCATGATATATTACTGTCAATAACAAGGAATCAAAAAAGGTGGTTATAATGGGTTTCAAGAGGAACAATTTGGTGTATAGTGAATATTATTGATATTATTAAGGAGCTGATGTTGAAAATTAAAAAATCTGAAAAAAAAAAATACACACCTTTGGGAAGTTTCATTCCATTTGCATTAACAGAACAAAAATGGTTGAAAAAAGAAAAGTAAAGTGGCCACAAATGGCCAGGAGAGAGCCCAGAGGGTTAAGTAATGTATAAGTAAGTTCACAGAAAATAAGAAAGATACATCCTATCTTTTATATATCTAAATACTTATAGGATACACTTAATTTTACACATACTTCCCAGTTAAAATGACACAAATTGATGAAATACAATAATATTTGCAATACAACATAAAAATTACAGGTTTCCTTTTCTCTTCATGCAGCTAAACAGACTCTCATCATTTTTAGGACAACAGAGACCATTTAAAACACATTTCACATGGGCAAGTTACAACAGAAACTGCACAGCTTTTACTTCACTAATTATCTCATGGTGAACAGCCAAGTAAACATCAACAGGCCTTTCAGATTGACCAAGAACGTAATCTGTGCAGACGTTTTGCTTCTCTTTGTGATCACATGATGGTAATGTTTGGTCTGCAAGATCGCAGATGTTTGCACAGAACAGATAAAGTCAACATTTTTTGCATTATATTAACATGACAACCTTTTCCTCAATTCAATCTTTACTGAACAGCTTGGTTTATTATGTGTACATAGATTTCTAAGCCTTGCTGCATCAGTGGCTTCTTAATAATGACTTTAATTTAGGTTTCTAGTAAAGAGCCATTAGATTTATGAAACAACAATCAGGAGTTTCTGAAAGGACTCTGCTGCTCTTTATTAAACAGTTTGATTAAAAATTAGAACATGTAAGAAAGTAATATGAACAATTCAAAGAAAGTCTTTTTACATGCTGGCTGCCAGCCTCAGATAGGCATGTTTTTCATTTTCATTATTCAATGGGAGAGATGGACATTTAAAAATTTGGAAAGCTCTGACAGACAGTTAGCAAACACATACAACTCCACCTCGTTACAAAAAGGACATGTTCCACTACATGGAGAAACTACATACTACAGCAAGAATAAAGCTACAGCACTTTTTCTAATTGTTAACCTTCCTATCCTTCACTGCAAGCAATTCATGTTAGAATACTTACAGATTTAAGTACTGTTACAATCAATATGTACATCCTACTAAATCATTTTTTTATAGCAAAGGTAAAAGTCGCAAGACCTTTTCATTCTGCCTGGTAGCTCCATCTCCATCATCCTTTGCCAAGAGTCCTTTGACCATTGTTACACTTGTCTCCCTCTCATTTACACACATGTATTCTTTCTTGCCTCTGATGACAATTATTAAAGCTGAATTCTGTGAAGCCTGATCTCAAGCTTTGAAAGTTTGACCTAGCAGATTTGTTCAGATTCTCTGTGCTTCTCACTGTCTCCAAAAGGACACACAGTATGGGTTTGCTGATCCTCAATAAGTTTGTGTTATGGATAAAAGACTTTCCATACTCCTCATATTTCAGTGGTTTAATAGTTGGTAAGATTGGGATTTTTCTTTTAGATGATAAAACCTAGCAAAAGAATGTCCACACTATGCAAAATGACAGTGTTTAACTCCAGCATAGATAAGCTTATGCAAATTTAAGATGCTAATCTGAGTAAGACTTTCTACACTGATGACAAACGCTTTAATTCCAGTATGAATAATCTGATGCTTTTTAAATATATTGACACAAGTAAAAACCTTTCAGCACTGACCATATAAAAACTATTTAACTTCAGTGTGGATTAGTTCATGATGTTTTAAAGTATCCATGCGACCGAAAGCCTTTCCACACTGACCACAGACAAATGGTTTAGCACCAGTGTGAATGAGTTTATGTTTTTTTAAAACCCAAATGTCAGGAAAAGCCTTTCCACAAAGATCACAGACAAATGGTTTAACACCAGTGTGGACGAGCTGATGAGTTTTTAAACCCCTCATGTAAGTAAAAGCCTTTCCACATTGACCACAGACAAATAGTTTAGTGTCATTGTGGACGAGCTGATGTTCTTTTAAGGAACTCCTGTTACTAAAAGAATTCCCACACTGATCACAGTTGAATGGTTTAACTCCAGAGTGGGTGAGCTGATGTCTTTTTAAGGTGCCATTCTGAGCAAAACACTTTCCACACTGATCACAGCTGAATGCTTTGACTCTAGTGTGGATGAGCTGATGTTTTTTTAAGTTGCCATTCTGATTAAAACACTTTCCACACTGATCACAGCTGAATGGTTTTAATCCAGTGTGGATGAGCTGATGTTTTTTTAAGCTGCCATCCTGAGAAAAAGACTTTCCACACAGATCACAGCTGAATGCTTTAAATCCAGTGTGGGTGAGCTGATGTTTTTTTAAGCTGCCATTAAGAGTAAAAGCCATTCCACATTGATCACAACTAAATGGTTTAAATCCAGTGTGGATGAGCTGATGTCTTTTAAAGCTGACATTATGAGAAAAAGACTTTCCACACTGATCACAGCTGAATGGTTTAATGCCAGTGTGGGTGAGCTGATGTTGTTTTAAGCTGCTATTAAGAGTAAAAGCCATTCCACAATGATCACAGACAAATGATTTAATTCCAGCATGGATGAGTCGATGACTTTTTAAACTCTCCTTACGAGCAAAAGCGTTTCCACACTGCTCACAGATAAATGGTTTAGCACCAGTGTGGATGAGGCCATGAGTTTTTAAACTATCCACGTGAGCAAAAGTCTTGCCACACTGATCACAGACAAATGGTTTAGCACCAGTGTGAATGCGCTGATGTTTTTTTAAGGCACACTTATAAGTAAAAGCCTTTCCACAATGATCACAGACAAATCGTTTAATGCCAGTGTGGATGAGTTGATGACGTTTCAAAACCTTCATGTAAGTAAAAGACTTTCCACACTGATCACAGCTGAATGCTTTAACTCCAGTGTGGATGAGCTGATGTTTTTTTAAGCTGTTTTTCTGAGTAAAAGACTTTTCACACTTATCACAGGTAAACCTGTCCCCAGTGTCAGCGCGCCGGCATCTTCTGGGTTGCTTCATAGTAGTAAAAGTCTTTTCCATGAGGATCACAACTGGCTCATCTGTATTAGCTGGTGTTGGGTGGTTTTTGTTGAGGTCATCAATGTGCCGAGGTTTCACCATGCTTTCCCCCTTTTTGCCTATAATGACAAAGACCCAAAACAGTGGTTATGCAACTACGAAACCTACAAAAAGTACAGATTATGATATGATGATGATGCATAATTCAGATCATGCGCATCCCCATGAGTAAAAAAATACAAAAAAACAAAACACACACACACACACACA